CACTCACATCAGTGGAGCTTCCTTCACCTAGGAACAACAGGTAGGGAACCATTCACAATCTCTTAAAGAAGGTAATGGTCCTAAGTAACAATACACAGATTGCTGTAATATAGTGTAAAACATCTATATACTGAGAGAGACAACAGAAAAGACTTGTTTTAAAAGATGTGTAAAGATGAGGATTTTTTTGGCTCTATCTCAAAATCAATAGCTGGTGACTTACTTTCAATTGTTAAAAAAAAAAAAAAAAAGGAAGAATAGACATGTCTCTGTGTCTCTGCCGAATATACAAAAGGCTCATTTAGCCTGCTTTTCCTTTTATCTAGGTATACTTTTTTATCACTGATGCTCCAAAAAGATTTAAGTACCAATTAGTGTAATTTTTGTCTCCTATCCCACAGACTGGGGTAGGAATTTCCCTCATTAACTACCAAAGCAGTAGATAATGTAGAGTAAGAGTACATTCTGTATGTCAGCCAACCGAAAATTCTTTTAAACAACACAGAAGTCACTGCCTATAGTGGCATTTGTAAGTCTACAGTGCACACCAGTGGAATATAGTAGTACATGCATTTTTCCACTATTTTCCGTATAATGTAATATTGTTTTGTAAATATTCCATCTTATTCAACTTTGAAATGACCAGAAAAGCATATTTTTCAGGATTTATAAAAATATAAAATTTTGAGGAAAATTTGCCATGAGTATAAACAAGAGTGTTTTATTGTACATAAGTTAAAATGAACATTCTAAAACCTCAAACTTCAACAGGCTTGCTCACACCAATTCTGTTTGCAAACATCACAGCAACACACCAAGGATTTACTTTGTTTTTCAGAGTCCAATGACCTAACTAATTAAATTCAGACATACTTTTTGTGTTTTTTAGACTGATGGTTAATTGATCTGTAAACTGAACTGAATCTGGAAAAATTGGATACACCAATTCCTGGGGACATTCAACATGTAAAGTTACAGATGTCAAAATTTTCATGTTCTTCAGAGAACTTAAAGATTCCTACTCTTTCCAACAAAATTTACTTTAAACCCAAATATATCTAATGTCAAGACCCCTTATTTACTCAATAGTCTTGCAAACAATTTTTGCCATTCTGTGGATACTCATTCTAATACAACAATAAGTGTAATTTTATACTAATTGCTTTCCAGTTTTAAAAATATCAAAGTGTTTTACATCCTTTAATGGGTGAACAGAATTCTTAGAACAAAAAAAGGAAATTATCAATTACAACACCAAATGCAATTTTCTGTTATATCTGTTAAAACAGTCTAATTTATGACCCCAAGAAAGACAAGAGGAGTGCTAGTGGCACACAAAGCTGCCTATAATGCTCATGGTTACCATGATCATACATTGTCATTTTACTACTATTTTTTATTAACTCGGTACTTTGAAAACTTATTTACAACTTCCAAATTGAAGCTGAATGGATAATATTTTAAAACTGTGATCAGCAAGATCACCAAGGCTTTCCATATTTAGTTTATTTCAAGGTGAGTAAATACTAGTCTTTTAATGAAAGTAGTTAAAGAAAGTGATTAGTTTCTGGGAGCACTAATAATTAAGTGTTGGCAGCTGTGAAACTTCTAACATTCCCCAAAATCTCTCCAACTTCCAAAAGACTAGAAGAGCTATCCATTCCTAAAAATGGTTTAATTCGCAGTGGGACTATCACTTGCAAACCAAACACTTTTTTTCACATTCACAGTGGGACTGTTAGGCAATATACCAAAGGAAATTGCAGATTAATTTAGTCAAGGACATGGAAATAATCTAGATGTAATGATTGATCTGCTGTGGATCTAGAAATTCCTCTGTGATTTAATATTGAAAATATATATTGGAATCAGATTCCATGCTTAGCCTAGTAGATGTCTGCACTTTATTTCATTTTCAAATTTTTACTGTCAAAAATCTTGTCTGTTCCAGCATGCACTTCTCAACAGTGATATATAGTGAGTAATATTCACATCCATGTTGTAAACACACAAGGTTTGGTTTATTTCAGTAGAGGGAGAGTTTCCACTTACAGAAACCCCAGGCATCACACTGATAGAAATAATTTCATTCATATTAGTCATATCCATACAGATCAGTGTTTTTCTTTAATTTAAAAATGAGATTTATGTCATAAATATCAGAAGATGAACAGAATGATCAAAATATCACCTCCTGTTTGCAATTAAAGCGATTGAGCATGTTCCCAAGAAAAAAGCAGCAACACATATATGTAGGCATGCACGTGCATTAATATTATCTATCTATCTATCTATCTATCTATCTATCTATCTATCTATCTATCTATGTCTCCAACGAATTCTCAGAAAATTTTTACTTCCTGTTGTTCTATTCCTGATGACAGTGTCATAAAGCCTTTCACAAAGATTACATTTCTGAAGCAAAACTATTAAATAGCTCTACACTTCCTCTGTTTTGCATAAGTATAACAAGCTAAAATCCTACTTAATGAACAAGCAGAATATCAAGAATTAAAATCTGAAGGAATTAAAATATGATAGCTGTTAGTTTGTTGCTGTGTTGCATATGCATCACCTATTAACTGGAACTTGAGATTTAATAGACTACTTGCAATTCTTTCCAGAACATGAAAGAAAACTAACTAAATTCCCTCCATTATTCCAAATCGGAGATGTTAAATTCATAGCAGATTTTTAATTCACTATCTATGTTTAGTTATACAGACACACATTTTGAGTTTCGTTGGATCAAAGAGATCCTCTATCCATTGTCTTGAAAGCTAAAACCTGCAAACCGCAACACAAATATATCTTATTCTCCTAGTCATGAAATGGCTATATTGAAATGGCTATACTGAAATGAACATGTATTTCCTAACACCAATCGGCACAACCAGGCAATGTTCTTAAATTACACCTTCAGGGCTGATCTTTGTAAAAGTAAATTACTTTCTGACATCAGAACTCCACCATAAATGTCTTGTTGAGCTAAATCCGTCTCCTGACACATCTACCTGTGCTCCTGAGTATAAGAACAAGCCTGTGTTGTACTCCAAGGCCTGACAGCTTTGGTTGACTCCTTTGTTTACTGTCAGAGTTGCCTCCCATGGGACCCTTCCCAGATGTTTCCTTACTAAGCCAATATCCTGCTCTCCTTAGGTCCAGGGTCTGTACTCTGCTGCTCGCCTTTTGTCTTTCAGGATGACCAACACCACTATTTCAAAGTCACCACAGAGGAGGAAATTATTCATCCTCACATCTCCAGCTAGTTTCCTTTATATTGTTCAACAGCAGCTACAGCTATACATCATCACTTGTTGGCCCTTTGAATACATTCAGCAAGAAATTATTCCTGAAACCTCACTGAAATGTCTTTGACTGCAGCAGCTATTCTACCTTTCTAGCAGCTGTAGTCACCCATGAGAACTGGGGTTTACAACACCGAGAGCTGAGTTCTTTAAATACTTTTTTTGTTTCCTCATTAAGTGGTCTGTAAAAAACTCTTACCACAATGATGCCCTTACTGGCCTCTCTTCTGATCCTAGAGTCACAACTCTGATTACCCCCCATCCTTCTGGAGACTGCAAAAGATCTGAGTTGCTCATAGATCTGAGGGCAACTTCCATCCCCCCAGCCCTTCCTTGGCAGTGTTTCTGGAAGTCCTTCACAGTACTCCAGTTGCATGGACTTGGCGCAGTATCTGAATTATTCCAACAATATCGTAGTTCTGTAACCACATACAGCTCTAATTCTCCCTGCTTTTTCCCAGTGTGTGTGTATTTCTTTACCAACAATTGAGACGAGTGTCCCTTCACATTGCTTTATCATTCTTGAAGTATTTCTTGCTCCTATCAATCTGTGCCCCGAGCTTTCCAGCCAACCAGCACTTCTTCATTTCACTGTGGTCTGTAATCTCTCATTGCCTCCTTTCCTAGTTCAAAACTCTCCTCATTATGTTACCCAGCTGGTAGGATCAAGGAGACAAGACCTGGGTCCCCATGACCTCAACCCCAGAGCTATGTGATCATTCCTAACATGTTCCTAGCTGGTGCCTGTGTAGCAGTCTAAGGACTGGACAGACCCTGGCAATCTCTCTGCAGTGTTCTGGATTCTAGCCCACAGCAAGCCACATAACCCTCAAAACAGCAAATGTGGAACACAGGGGTTTCTATCCCCACAGGAGCAAACCTCCTACTACTGCCACTCACTGCTTCCTCCTGATGTTTATGCATGGTTGGTGTTAAAACTGGCTCTGATGGCTCACAAGTCATGGCTTTCTTCCCCTACTTCATTACCAGGTGTTTGAACTCTTTTATGTGGAAAAAGAGCCATCCTACAGCTGCTGGAGGACATACCTTTCCATCCCTCCTACTTTGGGACTATTCACTGTGAAACTCACAGCAGCCTCTGGCTGCGTCTCCCATGTGGCTCAGACTTTCTTATCTCTAGGTCCTTGGAAGATTCTGGTAATCTCCTCTTTGCCTTTTCTAATCCTGCCCAGCCTTACTTTCTTGTCCAGGTTGATGGGGACAATACAGTTTTTCAGCTAATTTCTACACCTCTACTGTTCTATTGCTCCAGCCTCACAGGAAGGGTGGCAGGGCTTTCCTGAACATCCCCTTACCCCACATGGGCCATTTCTCTCTGAACACAAGTCCTGCTGGACCCTGATCACACACTGCTGTACATTGGGACCACCAGCCTCACCACACATGGGGATGGGGCACCAGAACCTGCCTCCTCTGGCCAGTAGGGACTGGAAGCCTGTGGAGCCATCCCAGTGCCCCTCCCACAGCTCCCAAGCACCAGAGCTGCCATAGCAGCATCCACACACCTTCATCAGGTCCCTCCCATCTGGCTACACAGAATAATAATTGATAAATAGTGGATTTATCACATTCATAAACCCTGGACACAATTTTACTTAGCTACAACAAAGGAAATCAGAAGTCAAAATTTTCTTTCTTATTACATGTGATAACAATGTACTGCTAGCATACCTGTTTCAGGCTTTCCAGCTTGGTTTGCCTCAGTTCTTCATATTTCCATTTCCAAAGAAATAATTCATTTTCCATCTTTTCCATTTCTTTCTCCAGAAATACATTCATTCTAAAAAAGTATTTTAAGATTTAGTATTGCACAATTTTGAAGTTGACAGAAGAAAAATTACTTTGAATTTCCTTCTTATAGAGTGAGTTATATACTGCTGCCTTTGTCAATGGTATATCTTGACTTTTCTAAAAACCTATATTATCATTGCATAATTATTCCAAAAGATTTACAAAAAATAATAGCTAAAGAGAAAACAGAAATCCAGTAGTACAGAATTAAACTTTAAATGAAACAAAATTTTGAGATAAACTGAAGAAAATTTGACTTCAGTTAGAGGTTCAGACCACCTAACTTATCACAAGTTTCTTCACAGTTAGTGAAGATCCTCAAAGAAAAGGTATTACATCACTTGTATTTAGTATAAACAGACGATTATGCAAAGGGAAATATACACTATAAAGACCAGAAACCAAAGATGATTGATGTTAAACATTAAAAAACATAATTAAAATATGTATATTTCATGTTTCAAAAAATAATTGTTCCTTCAAGAAACTGCTAGAAGACTTTTAGGAAAATTTCCTTAGCACAGAAGTACTATGCTTATACAATGAGAAAAACATGAAATAGTTGAAAAGAAAATTCTAATATTGGCAACTAAAGAAACTGTTGTGTGCCACAGTAGTTATTTTCTATTTTACTGGAGGCTAACAGAATTTTACAACCTTTTTAACAAAGATGTTATTGCTGGGCTTACTAGAACTATATTTTGAGAATATTTGGTTTAAATAAAGTGTATTAAATAAATTTGATTTAAAGCAAAATGTATTGATGGAATTTGTCTGGGGCATTTCTACACAGCAGACTGAAGGCTTGCACAGAGATAACAAGAGTTGCCACTGGACTGACTCAGGTCCTGGAAGCAATGTCAGCTACATTAATGAAGCAATCCACTAGAGTAAAATATCTTCTTCCCTCTTCTTTTATATCTAAAACTAATGTTCTTGAATCAGGGATCTCCTTTTTCTGTCTAGATTTAGCATATAGCACAGCTTATCTTAGCAAACACCTAAAACTCCCATAACATTACAGTAATAAAATAAACACCATTATTCACAAAGCAAAGAGGAGCAAGATGCATTTCAGCTCAACGGTTTTTCTTTCAAAGTAATGGGATATTTTGTTGGAATGATATCATGATCTCATTGGGGAACTAAGATAATTATTAGTGGGACATTTAATACAGTAGAAAGTGAATACACAAAAGATGACATTCCAATACTTTGAGTAATAGTCTATTGACCATACTGAATGCAGTGAAAGTCCTCAGAAATGGTCTAATCTGAAAAGTAAAAGAAGAATGTGCAGTATGTTTTGCTTATTTAGAAGACATTTTTTTTTTGTGCTGCAGTACTTCTTAAGGGAGATCAGCTCCTTCTGATACCACTAATTGAAAGAAATTATTCTGATTACATAACGTTTGCTATTTAAATATAGAAAACAAAGAGCAGAAGAAAGAATACAACAGACATCAGAAGCAACTTATTACTAGATAAAAGAATCAAGTTCAGAGTATTTTTCATGGATCTTGTAATGAGACATTTTAACTCATTATCTAATTAAATCGCTGAATGGTTGAGGTTGAGAGGGACCCTGAGGAGGTCGTCTGCTGCAAACCCCATGCCCAAGCAGAGTTGCCTAGAACTGATTGCTCAGGACCATGTCCAGATGGCTTCTGAACATCTCAAGGTTGCAGATTCAGCAACTTTTCTGCCAAACAAGTTCCAGTCTTCAGTGATCCTTGCAGGAAAAAAATGGATTTCTTGTTGTTCAGGCAGAGCCTTTTGTATCCACTGTCTACCTTACCCAGACAGTGTTAAGCAGTTCCTCTTTGATATTATTAGCCATCAGGGGACCAGCTTGTGGGCTTTTGGTTTTAGAGGAAATGAACACTTTTAAGTTCAAAATAGAACAAATCACTTAAAACTAGAAGACATTTAGATGAGAACACTGATCCAAAAGATGACAAAAGATTTTAAGCAAATGATTATGCAAAATGATGACCCACTCATAAGGTTTGTAATTTCCATTCATGATAATGGGACCTCAAATGTGTAATTGATATGAGCTATTAGTACCTAGTAAAGGATGTTGGTGTGTAATTTCACATTGCAAATCCAAGCCTGATATTTTCTGAATGTCAAAACATAGATTTTCCTCTCTTTATTTTTAGTATTTTTTTAGACTTTCTCTTTTTGTTCTTCGCAAAGCCTGACCTGTGTGCATAAGGCTATGTCAACATTACTGATGATGGCTCTAAGCAGAATGCAATAAGAAGTCTTCTCAGGGTGAAGAAGCAAAACATCTTATGGAGAGATTAGTTAGGAAACCAACAAGTTTACTAGTTAGGTAACTATTAATTAATTTAGTTAGGGGGAAGTTCAAACACTGAATTTGCATAAGCTAACTTGACTCTAGAAAAAATGCAGTCAGAGTTCAGAGTGCTGCATGTAAACCAGAAAATTGCTGAGAAGTCCTCTGCTGCATGAGTAAGATCATACTGACTGCTAAAGTAACCTTTGGCATTGAGGTTCAAGCTGTCTATGATCTGCTTGCTTTTGATGCAGCACAGCTGCATGTCCTTGGCTTGAGTTCACTGAGAAAATTGCTAAGTTGTGAAAAAGAAGCTGTGAGAAAATACTTAAGCTAGAGCCACATAAGATAAGGAGAGTAAAAATGCAAACAGGGGTGAGATTGTTGAGATAGTCATGACTAGCAAATCCAGAATACAGGGGTAAAAACACTGACATGAGCAAGAATAAAACCTTAGGCAGAAACCTGGAAATCTGGAGTTGGAAATTCGGCAAAATCAGCCAATTCTACTAAGTGGTGGAGACCAACTCTTTCTGAGATAGCAGGTGACAGCCTGCCCAACAAAGATTCATCAGCTATCTCAAGAGACTGGTGACTATGACAATACTCATCCTAGTAATATTATTCCTATTTGCTGTCTGCACTGCCAAATATAGTTGCTTCATACTTAGAAGTTGCATATATTCTGCTTGCATTACATCTCTGCATGCAGGAAATGTTGCCCTCCTGGAGAGGGAGCTGCTATACCAATCCCCACTGTTATGTGGAAATCACTGCCCTGTGAACATTTTTGCTGCCTCAGGTTGGCATTGCCACATGTTGCATGTTATAGATGTGCCCCAATTCTTACCATGTGCCAGTAAATTTATTGCCTAATACCACAGTCAGTATATATCTAGGCATAAACGGAAAAATCCGTCCCCGTGAAGTACAGCTAAAAATTGGTTAGAGAAGCATGCAAACAAAAAGACAAACCAAAACCTATTAAAGTTTTGCCTAAGTGACTAAAAGTGAGTTGAAAAATTTTCAATTTTCTAAAATAAAATTATTATATATGTATGCATACTGTGATTGCTGATGAAGTACCTAGGCCCCTAAATATTTCAACCCCAGGAAAACGGGTATGTGGGGCATCAGTCTCCTAACTCACATACATATATGCTGCCACAGAAAAACTAAATACTTTTTAAGGAAAGAGAGCATGACCATCTTCTGCTATATGATTCAACTAGAGAATCATTGTTTGCTTTCTAAAACTATCTAATTCATATAACAAAGCACATCAAACCCTAGTTACGAATTGAAAGGATTTTTTACCTCAGATTTGTACACAACAAATATGAAATAAACTGACTGGCAAGAAATGTGAAATAAGCTGACAGGAAGGAAATTCTTCAGCACATTTTACCATTACATTTCTGAACTGAAAGTGTTGAATATATTTGCAATAGATAGGGAATTTTCTTCCTTTTAATTTTCTAATTAACTTCAACTGATTTTGAAATTACTGTCACCTGTAATTACAGCCTGAAGTCTGCTACTTCGTCACCATACATCACATGCTGCATGTTTCCTCAAAAAGCCTTTCTATTGAGATTCAATCTTTCTAAATATTGACCATTTATACAACATAAAACTTATTTTAGGCCACCAAAACATACATTTAGTATTTATGTGCGACAAATTTGATATGTTACATAAGTGTACAATAAATGTATTACTCCCTCTTTGTTACTGGCTTTTATCACAGACTTTGCTAGAAGTGAAGAGGTTAAAATTAACAGCATTTTGCAGCTGATTCATATATTTTCAATTAAAAAACAGCCTTTCTCATTCTGCAGTTGGCCTCTTTCAAAGTCTGCTGGTAGAGTTTATGAAAATTTGTTATTATGCACAAAGCACTTCAATAACTAGGTATAACATATATTAGAGATCACTGCATTGCAAATTGCTAATAAGTACATATTTGTATGGAACACCTCTTATTTAAATGACAGACAAGCCAAAGAAAACAATAAACACTCTATGTTGAATTGTTTCTCTAAATTCTTATTAAAGCCTTTCAAATAGCAATGAATAAAGCTTACAATATATGAGCTATAAATATAAACATTACCATATCTATCTTAGAAACTGCCTTCAAGCCCTTTATGAGAATTCTACAAGTAGGATATATTTTGCACTTACTCTCTTTCCTTCTGTAAGAATTTTCTCATCTCAGCCAAATGCAAATTTAAGACTGATACATGCATTAAATCATTCTCTGTTGTCTTAGCTGTAGTGCCCAAACTTATTTTAGGTTCCTCCAAATAGATGCTGGGAAATCCATTGGTGAAGAAATCAGGAGGCTTTGGGGTGAATTTTTTATTGTCGTCGCTTTGGCCTTTGTTTACATCCTGAGAAAACAAAATATGACACCTGAGTAAATGAAGGAACAAGTCTAACACAGTTCCAGCAGGGCCTACCAAGGCTCTTCTAGACATTTAAGGAACATAGAAGAAAAAAAGGAAATAGGTAACATCTTAGACAGTTGGACTGTATATGGGTAGAAGGTGCAAAAATGTCAGTATATTTGAATAACTGTCATTTTGTGATATTTCACAGCTTCTGTTATGACAAGCTTCATATCCAAAATATTTCCAATATGTCTTTACTAAGGAAATATATGCTTTAGTATATTATTATATTTCTCTTTTGTTGGCTGTAACTCCGGTGAAGACAGAATCCTGGAACTCATAAAACCAGCAATGCAATTTATCCATAGAAATAATGTGTTGAGAAACTCTACATTATGAACTCTCAAACTTTTTATGTAAATTGTGTTGAAGCAGGCTTACACAAGTTTTTCATAATGAACAAAGTATATAGGTATCTATTTTAAAGATAGATGTTTTGCATACAAAACATAAGAAAAACTAATATCAAAATAGGAAAAAAGTAAAATAACATTTTTGAGGAAAACTGAATGCCACTTATAAACAAGTTTCCCTTAGAAATGTATTTGCTTTACCATATCTGAGGAATTTTGTTTCAAAACTAATCTCATTTTAGCAGTTTACTGACAATCCTCTTTCATATCACTGTTCTTTTGAGGTTTTTGAAGAATGCTCAAAATTTACATCAGAAAATAGTAGAAACCACTGAAAAGATAAGAATGTTTCCCATTGACATATAAAGTTTAAGTTTTCAAGCAGAAAATATTTTATACTAAGGAAAAATAGTTAAAGGATATTTTGTGGTATTTCCTTCCAATGGCACATTTGTCTGCCTGAAAATATGAAAGGCATGTCTTTTTTGGCAAAATTTATTCTTGCTACTAACATAAGTCTTTTTTTTTTCCTTCAGATTTCACAGAAATATAATATCGTTAATATTCATTAGAGAGTAAAATTTCCAAATAGAATACATGAAGATCTAAGACCTTGGCAATTTCCCTTGAATGAAAGCAAAAATTTTCCTACTTTCAACAATGCAGGGAAAAACATTTTCCTGCAATGTATGAAAAAAATTGCCTATATCTACAATGACTGCCATCTATCAGAAAACAAATAAAGTTTTTACATGGTGCTATGAAGGCTATACAGTGCATTCCAAGGCACAGAATTAAGGGTAGTTAAACATGAACAAATACTCTAATTTTTAATGAATATAACTAGATCTTTTGTTCAGCGCTAGGAGCTGTTTAAACAATGCTTATACTCGATTTTTAAATTCTATACCACGACTTAATTGTTCTCCTTATCAAACAAAAAGCCTTGCAAATTTGCAAAAGAAGTTCCTTACCTCTTCCTAAGCTTTTGAAGTTCAGGGAGAATTAAATGATTGTATTTTAGAAGCCAAGAACCTAATTTGATTTTTTGGAGGAGAGAAAGAATGTAAGTATAAAAAACATGGTTAATTCAGATAAGAGAGGTAACCTGTTACCATAAAACATGAGAAAGAATCAAAACAATATTGTAAATTACTGCGTATAACAGTCTGTCTCTGTTTCTTAAATGTCTAGTCATAGTGCAAGGGTATGAATTTTTTTCTGTATTTTTCTGTATTAGAAATACTTAGATGAGGGGGGTCAGGGGGCTGAAAGGTTTTGCTAGTGAATGGATCAGGCAGCATTTTGGTCAAAATTCCTGAAAAAGCCCATTTCTACATACACATACATACTTTGCCACTCCTTCATGAACCACAGAAAATAATTCCTATTCTTTACCTTCTTTGTCTCTTCTGCCTCAGGAATTTTGATGATTTTGTTTAGGTCTTTTGGAGGTTCTGGTTCCAGAAACATTAACATGTTTTGGTCTTTTTCAATACAGGATATTTCTGAGCAACAGCATTCTGTTTTCCAAGCAGTTCCATTTTCTATGTTTTCCTTCTCACTTACTAAATCCTGATTTATTTTTTTAAGCACACTTAATTCTTTTATGACACCATCTAATTTGATTCTCAATTGTCTTGCTTCCTCTCGTGCCTTATTTCTTTCTCCTCTAACTTTGCTCCATTTCTCCCTCCAATTAGCGGTGCAATCTGACCACCAGCGCATTGTCTTCTCCATTTGGGCAGCTCTGGCTTTGACTTCCTCCAGTTCCTGAATTTTTACTGCTTCAAAAATTTCCCAATCACTGCTGTAACATGAATGCATATGTGCATGATGAGGTGACTTTGAGTAGAAACTTTGAGATGGAAGATTTGAATGACACAGATGGTCACCTGGCTGCCAACATCTATTTAATTTATCAGGTTGTGTTGGTTGGGTCCCAAAAACTTCTATCTCTTCCATTTGTTTCTGAATGGAGTCTAAATTCACGTTTTGATTTCACTCCTAAAAAAGACAAAGACAGACAATAATTTAGCTTTTAATTAATTACGGCATATTAATAACCTTCAACAGTTAGGGTTTTTACTGCTGTAATAGTGAATTAATGATGCTGCTCATGTTTTAAAAATGCGCTTTATCAACAAGAAATACCTATTCAAATATCTTCTATTTAATACTTTTTGAGTACAGCATAAACAGACATACTTATTACTTGGCTAGGATTTGTTTGCAAAGGAAGTCATTAAATAATCATAGTGCTCTCAAAAATATTTGAATCTAAAGAAAACAGACAAAAACTTTCTTCCTTCAAGACAAGTTTGAATTAAATGAATATATATTTAAAATATCTAGTTAGAGGAAGTTATTTGTCTAGAACTACAATCACAAAGCACTTACCCTCTTTACCTAACTGTGGAGTTTCATACTAGGCAAAAGTTGCCTTATAATATACATACGTAAGAAAAAGAAATCTTTTCAAAATCCCTGTGACCTTTGGATTTCCTTTTTATCAAGAGAAAAATGAAGCACTTTTTATAGAGGGCTTTATTTTGCTGTCTGCATTCCAGAAGATTTCCAGGTAGTATATTCTCATTTCCTTGAAAGTGTAGCACTATCCTACTGTACTGCACAGCCTACCTCGTAGTGGTATGACTCAGCTAGTAAATCTTGCTGCATTCTTTTTCATTATTTATCTTTTGATTATTTATTACTTATTTGGCCCAGAAGAAATCAGTTTCTCAGAAATTGCTTCCCAACCCCAGTGCAGAGAAAATGCTGATGCAGACAGTCTGTACAGACTAGCCACTTATATCTCCTTAGTTTTTTTTCCTCTTGATTATGTTAAAAACAAACCAGAGCAACCAAACAAACAGAATTCAGACAAATAAGCAAACTTAAAAACCTTGCTACTTCAACAGAAGACTCAGTTGTTAGAAGTGAAAAAGAAATTGCTTTTATATTGTGATATCCATTTGTAAAAAACATGTTTATGTTTCAGCAATTAATGCCAACACCTGCATTTGAAATGCAGGAGGCCAATGCTGCTTACAAAACACTGAAGAGTACATAGTTTTGGCAGTATGATTCAGTTATGTCTCATTTCAACTGAATAGAGATTTTTGCAGGTTTTGTTCCAGTTTTCCAGCTGTTTTCAACTTTTCCATGATTTTCAGGACATTTATTTTCCATTTGTTACAAGCTTATGGAGAACTGTTGTAGTGGAGTACGGATATGAGAGGAGGAAAGGGACAATGAAGGACTCCCAGTTCCCTTCATTATCACTGCCTGGTGTAGTACCATCAAGCCCACGACAACACTGTGACACAGATGCTGCAGAGCTGCTGCCAAAGCTTCATCAAGGTTGAGTCTTTCTCGTTTCTTGACCTACTTCCAGCAATTTAATTTGAATAAGCCTTATCCAAAATACAAAGGTTTTGCCATCCACAAACCAGTATGAGGCCCAGTAGATCCAAAGCAACTAAATATTAAACTCTTGCAGTCCATTGTTAATTTAACTTCTGGGTTGTGGTAATTGCTTTGTTTCCTAAAGCTTTAATTAAAAAAATAACCAAACAAAACTACAGAAAATTTTAGATACATAATAATATATATATATATATAATGTATTACATAATGCAATAAATACATAATGAAACAGTTGAAACTTTTGGATTTTTAAAAAGTACAATAACTTTTTCTTACATTTTTTTCCTGCCCCAAACTAGTAGTTATCTACAGAAATTTTTATTACGCTTTTCATAATCAGTAATTTTTTTTCAGTGGATTTTGCTAGCTTCTTTGCATATTCATTAAAAGAAGAGAGAACTTGGGGGTGCACAGTTTACAACTCTTAAAGGACGGAGAAATAGGAATGGTAATATTTTTCTTTGACTGAAAATCTGAAAGACTTGAGTTATTAATGAAGCAGAATAGCCTGTTGCTGATGTTTCATTACAGGTTTGAGGTGACTTTTTTGACATTACAAAGCTGGAGAAATGTTAAGGTTACAGGATACTAAAAAGGAAACATTAGTTATGAATTCTTACTCCCTACCGCTGTGATGGCTCAAGTGTTCTTGAGGCTGGGGCACTGCCAGTCAGATCAAACTTACAGCTGTAATAATTGAAGTAGGCTTGTACAGTAAGCCGGTGTTCTCTTCAGCTTCTAATAATTTTATGATAGGCTGAATGTTGCCTGCACTTTTCAGCATGAATAGATGATACCAACCCTGTATCTAAAATTCAAAAAAATTAAGAATTAAAAAAAGTCATTCCTCCTCCAGAAAACAGAAGTGCTGTCTCACTACGTTGTGGTAAAGAGAAGGAGGTGTTTCTATTTGTATTGACTTGCCTATGTCCTTTACAGAAAATCTAATCAAAACAGGTTTTTTAGATATCCTCTTTAAGATCGCAAGAGGTAGAATAAAATATAATTTTTTCATTAAAAGAGACAGATCTCAACAATCCATTTCACTGGCTGGCTGACTCAAGATAACAACAAAAAATAATAGAAATATTTGCTGGATAAGCGAAACAGGTAACGGGAATTTTATTAGAAGCATAAATTATGAAGATTTGTGCTTGCATCTATTTTAAAAGAAGTGGACTAAAACATTAGTTTGAAAGGAAGCAAAGATTTAAAAAGTAGAAAAAATTTGTTGTTTGTTGTAAAAGTTCTGAAACTGTCAAAAATCTCACAGTTCAGAGGAATGACTAGGATGGACTTATTTTATTTTTAATTCATATCAATCTACTCTTTCATGTTCTCAAAAATAATGCACTGATGAAATAATAATAAAAAGTCAGTCCAACTGAAGACTGTTGTGGTATTGAATCTGTTTATACTCAATCTTTAATTGTCTCTATAGTTATAGTGATATTTAAAAAAATAGTAATTCCCTTCTCTGGTATATGACCACCTCATAGGAAACAGCATATATCTACATTGAACTCTGGAAACTCTCATCTATAAAGTATCTATAAATGTTCCAGAGGGAACAAGAATAATTTTTAACTTTTATGTTGAAGATAATTCAAAGAAGAAAGGTCTATGTTAATGTCGTTAGACACAGATCTCTTAACATCAGAAATATCACAAGTCTAAAATCGACAAAAAATACTGTGTGGAGCTGATCTTAAAGTCACTACTTGAGTTTGCAGCAACAGACTAGCTAGCACAGGATATGTAGCCCAGTTTACATAATTACTTTTAAAAAGGTAATTGGATGGAAAGATAAAATAAACTTAGAGAATTGTATAAAAATGGGGGTTTTCTGATCAGTGAAGCCTTCTGATAATTCAACTTGTAACAGATGAGTGATTAGAAGGAACACAATATCCCTTTTAAAGTTGTTTTTCTTAATGGAATAATTTAAAATAAGTATGAACAAAGTATATGAAGCAACATTCATTGTGTCATGTGAGTGAGGTGTGATGATAGAGTGAGAACAGAGTGATGATAGTTCTCAGAGGAAAAAAAGACACAGACATTTGGTGAACAATGCAAGGAACAGAGGTCTCAACCATATATAATTATATTGCAACTTTTCCTATTTATCTAATTATCGTGACCACCAGTAAGAAAGAGCTCTTGATTTATTTTTGCAACCTACTGTTTTAGGTAAACAGCAGTATATTCACCCTTGGTGGCATCATTAACAAAAGCACAAGGAGAGAAAAGAATTATTGCATTTTCTTCATGTTAATACCTGCTTACTGAACTCAGCTTTCTCAGTCAGTTCAGTAGCTAGGGAGGTGCTTGAGGATGGCATTTCAACATGCTTTTACTAACTGCATGATTTAATCCTTAGTCACATGTCTCTTAATTATTAAGACCTCAGCCAAACTTTTTTTAAGGTATTCTGTCTTTAAAGAAAATGTCTGCTTTAGATTAAACCAGTTAATTTTCTTTTGTCTAATCTATAAATTTAAAGGGACAAAATGAATCATAAAACTGAATGTGTTCTTCTGTAAGTGTTACTGAAAAGTCAGAACTTTTATTGCTGCAGTTCACCCATCAACAAACTCTGACAAAGAGAGAAGGCTTTAAGAAAATGGGCAGGGGTGATGTGGCCTTTATGGGAAGAATATAGGAAGTGATTTAACTCACTCATTGAAAACATAGCCGTTTACTGAGGGCTGCTAACTATCAAGCTATTGACTCAAGAAGAGATAAAATTTTATGTGTCTATTCCTGTTGTAAAGTTGGTTTTAATTATTAACCTTAGAGATCCCACCCAGTGGCTAGATGGAAAAATATAGCCAAGTAAATGATTGAAATGTATGGTGAAAAAAACATCACAATAGAAAGTGATTCATGGTATAGCTCAGACCAAAACATATCCATAAAAAATTGTATCTAGTTACGAAAACCCTAAAAATCCTGGCAGCACACAGCCAGGAGGCTGACCATTTGGTTAAAAAAATATAGCACAAAACTGAACAAGTATCTGGTTACAAGAGTGGCTTTGACATACAGGGACATAGGATTTATTTCAACAGGCAGTAAGTGAGGATGTCAGAAAAGATGAGCGGCAAAAGTTCTGGTGAAACAAATTGTATATTTGTGTCGTTTTTTAAAAAACAATGATACAGCACATGTCCAACATTCTACCAACTTCATGGAAGGTAAGTAATCTGGGAAACTTCTCATGTGCATTAACACAAACACCTGGAGGGTGGAAAGAAATCCTTACAGGAGCAGAAATAGTGGTGGTCAGAATATACTCCCTGCCTAAGCTATCACTGGTCTCACAACTGTTTTATGTCGCTGGTTTGCTACTTCTCCCTTATCCAGAGAAATATAATCTTAGCATCAATAACACTTTAAGAATAAAGTAGGACAAGCTTGGTTTAGTTCAAATCTTGTACAATGGATTTTCCAGCTACTGCCTCATCCTCAAAACAGCGGGACAGTAAATCGATGGAATAAACTACTAAACCAGCACATACAAAAGGATCTATTAATACCGTGTGGGAATCATACCTGTGAGAACTTGTAAGTTG